TGGCTTCTTCCCTCGCGGCAACTCCCTCTTCCCGTTCGACCCAACCCTTGCCGCCTCGCGCCGCAACAGCCGGCGCGCTCTTGCTTGTTTCGCTCACCTTTTAAATTTTCCGCCATCTTGAACTTTTTTTTTTTTTATTTCCCTCCACCCACTGAGGCTGCCAGAAAGTTTTCATCTCACAGAAGGGAGCTGGGGGCGGGGCCAGGCAACCTCCGAAGCTTCGCCTTTTGAGTAACGGGCCCTCAGCCCAATAGGAAGCGCGGAAGCCCGCTTAAGCCCCACCCCACGCCTTCCCGGGCTCCCTTGCTGACTCGTTTCGTTTCCTCCCGCCGGGCGGCGGACTCTGGTTGCTGCTCGGCGCGAACTAAAAGTAAAACTTGGCACCGCCTCCCGGCGCTGCTCAAAGGTGGAACGTGTGGTGGCTTGGCCTTTTTAAAAACGTCGGTCTCTTGATCTTTTTCCTATTCTTACTCGTGGTTGGAGGAGACGTGAAGGAAGAGAAATAGGGTACGAAGACACATTCAATTGACAGCTTCTTTTGTCTTATGAGAAAGTTGCACTGAGCACGGGGTTACCTAAGAGAAGTAGAACAAACAAAACAATTTATGCTGTAATAAGGAAATAGGGGGGGAAATGACTGTGTCACGTTATTGATCCTAATCGTTCATGAGAAAGCCTTTGGATGTGTTTAATTGCCGACCCTTGTCCTGACTCTGTATTTCCATTCTGTCACAGAGCCAAGGAAAAATCATTAAATTAGCTGCCATTATAAAAGACTAACTCAACAATTGGGGCAGGAGAAAGCAACTCTTTGCAGCTAGAGACCTCATTTATTAATTTGTATTGCATTGTTCTGCTGAATTTCACTGGGGACTGTTAGGGGCTGCAGGCTACATTGTTGGCTGTGGTTGCCTACTTTTTTTTTCATTCTTTGCAATCATTAAATGTTTTCTAACATCCATCTATTCTTAATAGTTACCATTGACTCTTTAGTACATTTTTTCAGTTCCAGCACAACTAATCAGAGGTACGCATCACTTATCAACACAATTTTCCTAAATAATTGTAAGCAGAGAGGTTATCTAAATTAGTACTCACATAGTTACCAGAAGTTGTCTTGTAGCTCCTTGATTCCAGAAAGATTCCTCAGTGTAGAGAAAGCAGCAAAAATAGCAACCTATAGAATAGAAAAACGTTTACACTATATATGCACACCCTTACTCACTTCAGATTCATACTCCCAGGGCTTCCTTAGTCTTCTATTTTATAATCTAAAAAGGTTGGATTTTGACCAGCTGGTTATCATCAATCTTTTCATGGAATATTGTTACAATTTTGAAGATAATGAGGAAGGTGTATCTAATTGTTCTTGGGCAGTTTTTGATCATGGAAGTTCATGTCCTGATTCTTGGTACAGTATTTTATTATATTGGTATTATACTTTAATATTTCTTTAGTACATCGTTGTTTAGTCCACCATAGCATGCTGTTGCATTTCCATGCATCTGTGTATTCACATGTACTTACTTCATTAGTCTGAGTATTTCTCAACTATATGAGAAACATAGTTTTTCAAGAAAGGCTTTTGGGACAAGTAAGATCAAGCATCATCGAATGGTGCATCACTTGATTATAGATATACTAATTGATTTTTGTTTTTATCTTATTAATTCTGGAAGCTGCTGAGGGTCTCCTGAAATAGCAGATGTAAATTGCAGTAATTAGTAATAAATCTAAAGAGCGCTGCTCAAACCATTAAACCATTAAATCTGGCCTTTCCTATTTGTACCTCTGCTATTTCCTCTTTTGCCCTCAAATCAAAAATAAACTCATGTCATGTAAAGCAGTTTTATTCCATCAAACTGTATTGACATATAACTTGTACTGTTCCCTCAAATTACACAGTTAAAGATTCTAATGGATTGAGAATGATTAAAATTATAATCCAATACATACAGAGGACACCAGGCTGGGGAAGTCTACTCTGGAGAAATGCTGCTTCCTCCCTCCCTCCCTCCCTCCCTCTCTCTCTCTCTCTCTCTCTCTCTCTC